CCTCGCAACCTTACCTCTGCTATTGCAATGATTCCTTCTATCTGAATGTTGAAAAGTCGTTCTTGCAGCCTCATTCTTCTCTAAGCGATATGTCGGTTGGTGGCTGCATTAAATACTCATCAGATAACGGAATTATGAAAACGAGACTGTAGGAATGACATTTTACCTTTCAAGCCAACACAGTGACAACGGCGGCAGTAACTGTGGTAGCAGTGGTAGCAGTGATGATAGTGGTAAAGGATGGCGAAGCGGTAACAACGGTAACTGACAAGCACCCACTGACAACGATACAAGCAGTAATGTTTTGCCAGTCCTTGCGTTGAAAAATCCTAGCTCCTATCACTTTATTCACTTCCGTGCAGAAAGTTTATTGATACTGCGATAAAATTTAGTGCCTTTTGAAAACTTTTATTCACAAACATTCGAAGTTATTAGTTGTCAAAATAATCCCGCACACAAAAAAATCTTTTTTCAATTCTGCAGTTCAGCCAACTCCTGTGGTAGGGGTGTATCCGGGTGGCGACTTTCGAAGTGCTGCTTGTACGATTTCAAATTCACCATTTGCGTCATACATACGGTGCACTTGTAGATCAAAGATTTCTGTGCCGCTGCTTTGTGATCGAAAGGTTGTGACTTTCGTTGGGCTTCTGCCTTCAAAGTTCATCCATTATCGTACTTGTCGAACGCCTGAGAGTCGACTCTTACCTTTTTCTGTGCTTTCTGCTGCGCTTGAATTCTTGCAGGACCGCGTGCCATCGATGTGTGGATGAAGAATGAACCAGCTCAGCTGTCTGGAATTGATAGTGCATCGATTATGAAAATATACTTGTTTGGACAGATCAACAGATGCCGAAGTACACAAACGACACAAACCCTTTTAGCACAAGAATCTCTCTTAGCCAAATATAGGATAGGTATGATTTTTGCAGTGAGGGCTATACTAACGATGATGACAAAGCCCAAAATGGCTGATTTATTGTGAGTATCGTGAGGTTCAAGGCAGTGTCCCCTCAAGATCTCAGTTTCCATTCACCTTTTCGGAGCTTCTCGCCATGCTGATGCCATATCTGTTCTTTTCAGCCCATGAAAATGGCCAAAATGAGCTTTTTTCGAAGCTCTCCGTGTCAGCGGCCG